CCCTACCCTACCTATGGTCCGTGCAACCCTACCCTACCTATACCTATGGTCCGTGCGACCCTACCCTACCTATACATACGTCCGTGCGACCTATACCCTACCTATACCCTACCCTAGGTACATGGTACCCATCCGCCAGTCTAGTCTAGACTCTAAAGCTAAAGAAGAGCTAGAGCTAGCCGGTTACATTAGCTTAGCCGGCTTGGCTTAAGCTAGATAAACATTATCTACGCAGTTAACTAGACGTCTAGTTAACTTGTGCATGCTTTTTAGCAAAAGTTGTTAGGAAGTAGATATCCTTTATTGGCCTTTGGCCAGACTACTACAATGCGCTATTAGCTCTGCGCCTTTGGTGAGCTAATTAAGGGTGTTAACTATTAATATTAGTAAGCTATTAGTGTGTCTCTAGATCCTCTCTTAAATTAGCTTTAATTAAGACCTAAATTCTAGGGTGTTGCTTAGTATCTTAGACTCCTACGTGCTGTTGTCTATAATAGGTAGCGTTAGCATGCGTAGCTGTACTTTAAGCTTTAATATCACAGCCTCTAGGTTAAATAGGACTAGGCTAGCGCCTCTAAATCCTCCCTAGATGTTGCTCTTAGTAATTAAAGCATTAAAAGCAGCTTTAAAGCACAGCAAGAACTCAAGTTTAGTGATGTGAGTGATCTTGCTCCGCATCAGCTGCTCGGCTTGGCGGCCATAGGCCTTCTTCAATAGGGAGAAACAACCCACGTCAAGCAGCTGTAGCAGATAGGATGAGTGTAGGGGCATACACAGAGTGATAATCTTGTGCTCCTCACAGTACTAGTGGAATTTAACTAAGTTGTGGCTCTTGTGGCTGTCTAGAATAAGCAGTTAGTAGCTGCTAATAGTGTGCGCCTTTGTGTGCTTATTAAAGTGCTTTAACTACTTAACTCTAAGCTTATTATTAGTCTAGCTGTTATTAGAGACACTAATAACCTAGTTGTTAGGTATACTAGGCTCCTTATACTAGGCTAAGAGGTGGTGCTTGCTAGAGAGGATAATAAAGGGTGGGATAGACTAGCCCTTTGCACAGATGCCTTAGATAATGCTAGTCCACTCTTAGTTGCCCTACTGCACTGTCTTTAGTCTCCCTTAACGCTTAGAGCCTGTGATAACAGCACTAGTGGATATAACGCCTATTATAAAGCTAGATTTATTAAAGTTATAGGTGTCTTTATCTAAAATACTATACTTAGCTTTAGTATTCTCTATAAGCTAGAACTAGTTACTAATTACCTTTAGATCCTTATACAGCGCTCTCTTATAGTTATACTTATAATTAAACTTAACTTTAAGCTCTAGCTAACATTTAATAAAGTTAGTAGCCTAGTTCTTACTAATAGGGGCCTAGTAGCGCTTAGTAAGTAGAGAATTAGCTATGCCCTCTATATTAGTAAGTTAGGGTAAGAATCCTTACTTATCTAGCCTTAACACATGCTAGATAATTACCTCCTCTTTAGTGCTAGTTATCTTAATTATGTTAGGCTTATAATCACGTTGTAGAGAGGTTATAGCAAGTTAGTAACTAAGTGTCCTTTAAGACATGTTGTAGATAGCTGCAGCGCATTACTAAGAGAGTGTTGCGTCTTAATAGATAGCCTGAAGAGCAAGCTGTATTCCTGCTTCCTTTAAGGGTTTAATTGTGTTGTTATGTTGAGGCATTGTAGGTAGAGTGAAGTTTGGTGTGGTCTTGGCAAAAGTGAGCCACTCGCTTGTGTGAGCCACTCGCTTGTGGAGTACGTTAGTAACACGTGTTGTCATCACGTTGACAACATCACCACCCTAGCAGAAAAGCTCGGACAGTTTCTGCTGACATAACCACTCAACCAAATGTTTATTTACTAGCACTTACTAACGTACTCCACAAGCGAGTGGCTCACACAAGCGAGTGGCTTACTTTTGCCAAGACCACACCAAACTTCACTCTACCTACAATGCCTCAACATAACAACACAATTAAACCCTTAAAGGAAGTAGGAATACAGCTTGCTCTTTAGGCTATCTATTAAGACGCAACACTCTCTTAGCAATGCGCTGTAGCTATCTACAACATGTCTTAAAGGACACTTAGTTACTAACTTAATAGAACCTCTCTATAATATAATTATAAGCCTAATATAATTAAGAAAATTAGCACTAAAGAGGAGGTAATTATCTAGCACATATTAAGGCTAGATAAGTAAGGATTCTTACCCTAACTTACTAATGTAGAGGGTATAGCTAATTCTCTGCTTACTAAGCGCTACTAGACCCCTATTAGTAAGAACTAGGCTACTAACTTTATTTAATATTAGCTAGAGCTTAAAGTTAAGTTTAATTATAAATATAACTATAAGAGAGCGCTATATAAGGATCTAAAGGTAATTAGTAACTAGTTCTAGCTTATAGAGAATACTAAAGCTAAGTATAGTATTTTAGATAAAGACACCTGTAACTTTAATAAATCTAGCTTTATAATAGGCGTTATATCTACAGGAGCTGTTGTTACAGGCTCTAAGCATTAAGGAAGACTAAAGACAGTGTAGTAGGGCAACTAGGAGTAGACTAGTATTATCTAGGGTATTAACGCAAAGGGCTGGTCTATCCCACCCTTTATTATCTTCTCTAGCAAGCACTACCTCTCTGCCTAGTATAAAGAGCCTAGTATACCTAATAACTAGGTTTCTAATATCTCTAATAATAGTTAGACAAATAATAAGCTTAGAGTAAAGTAGTTTAAGCACTTTAATAAGCATATAAAGGCGCACACTGTTAGTAGCTATTAGCTGCTTGTCCTAGACAGCCACAAGAGCCACAACTTAGTTAAATTCTACTAGTACTGTGAGGAGCACAAGATTATTACTCTATGCATGCCTCCACACTTATCGCACTTGCTACAGCCACTTAACGTAGGATGTTTCTCCCTATTAAAGAAGGCCTATGGCTGCCAAGCTAAGAGGCTAATGCGCAGCAAGATCACGCGCATCACTAAACTTGAATTCTTGCTAACGTACTCCACAAGCGAGCTGGCCACCCAAGCGAGCTGGCCACCTTTGCCAAGACTACACCGAACTTCACTCTCCCTGTAATGCCTCAACGCAACAACGTAAAAAAGCCTTTAAATAAAACAGATATACAGCTTGCCCTTTAGGCTATCTAGCAAGACACAACACTAAGCGTGCAACACACTGCAGCAATATACTAGGTCTCTTAAAGCACCCTAGGCACGCGCCTTACTAGAACCTCTTCATAACGCAATTGCAAGCCTAACATGATAAGGATGACTAGTACTAAGGAGGAGGTGATTGTCTAGCATGTATTGAAGCTAGACAAGCGAGGATACCCACCCTAGCTTGCTGATGTGGAGGATATGGCCAATTCTCTGCTTGCTGAGCGCCACCAGCCCTACGTTGGCAAGAACTAGGCTGCCAACTTTTTAAAACATTAGCTAGAGCTTAAAGTTAAATTTAATTGTAAGTATAACTATAAGAGAGCTCTTTGTAAGTATAACTATAAGAGAGCTCTGTGTAAGGATCCTAAGGTGATTAGAGACTAGTTCTAACTAGTAGAGAATACTAAAGCTAAGTATAATATATAAGATAAAGACACCTACAACTTTAATAAGTCTAGCTTTATAATAGGCGTTATATTAACAGGAGCTATTGTTACAGACACCATCGCCGGAGGTAGCATCCTGGCTCTGGACGGCCGTAGCCGAAGAAGAATGCGCGGATATCTGTGACCTTAGGAGGGATATCCTGAATGTACTGCAGATACTCAGGTAGACCAGGTAGGTCATCGCCAATCCAACGCAGACCCTTGCCATCAACTTGTTTCCAGGACATGCCCACTCGAAACAGCGCAGCGCCTTGACAAAAGCATGCGACACGACATTGCGATCTATTTGGGATTTCTATTCAAGCCTCCAGCACCTTCCTTGGGCCCAAGAAGTTCTGCTTAGCCGCGGTCGCCACAAGACCTCGCGATCCTGCAAATTCTCCGCTAATGCTGAACGGGAGGGTTTAGGAGATACAAACTCACATCTTACCCTTCGCTCTCGCTCGCATGTGCCCAGCCCAGCCAGCAGCGAGAACAGAGTTGAGGCGGAGATTAGTGGCTTGGAGTATCTCCGAAGGGTTCCGACGCTGTGGTGGCTAGTCGAACAATGGCGGAGATCGAGAGCAACTCCGTTCAGCCGCACTGCGATGATCGCCGCTCAGCATCAATGACCTCGATCTGCAGCATTAGCTGCACACGACATTCATTGATTGTTAATTTGGTGCTGACATCTGCATCAGCTCTACATACCTGGTCCCATGGCTCAATTCCATACGTGGGTGTCACATGCGACGTTGGACTGGGATACTCTACCAGAAAAAGCGCCCGTTGGATCCAACTATCGAATGTTGCCAGTAGTGTGGGGGGTACCTATTCTCCGAACGAAGGGTTCGCTGCTACGGTCTGAGCTCTATCATTAGGCTGAGCAAGCAAAGATTGTTACTTGAGTAGAGTCGAGAACATACTTCAGCAGGTAATACTGAAGTCCGCACAATTGAGCTACTCAACATAGTTATTGACAGCATGCTATAGATACGGCAAATGAGAAGGCCGCAGTGACGAGCAGGCTGCATAATCTTGCATTTGACGCACAAAACAGAGCTTCACTTCTGCTTATCGAGATGTTGTGCAAAAATGTGCCCCTTTGAAGAAAAGCAGCCTGCAATTTCCACATTGAAACGAGCCCACGCCTTCCTATTTGAGCCCCTAGAGCCGTTCTTGGAATCGTAGGATCCAGCCGGGATTGGCATAGCCTTCTCACTGGGCACAAATCGTTATCGTCTGACGATCTACCGAGCCGCCGCTAGGGCCTTACAGATCTGCGACTTATCAGATATAGTATCGCGCAATAATACATTCAGCATGTACATACTCTGACCGGCTATCCCTGCGCTTATCTGGCCCTTGAATAGGGAGGTACCCACGGTTTAATCGGGGCGCGGTTAGGAAATTCAAAATTGTCTCAGGCCGTGTCAAAATGAATACCTAAGGCATCGCGAGCTTGGTATTTGTCTGGGTGGAGGCGTCGCTCGCCAAGCCTGATGGTCTAGAATGGTCTCCATACGAGGTGATCACTGCTGCGCGGTGATAGCGATGTGCATGAGGTCAATATATTCAGATAGTGATTGGATGCAGTAAGCCCGATCGTATTCAATGGCTGATGCAGTCAGCCACAAGGGCTTAGGCATTTACGCAGAGCTTGATATCTTTTTTGTCAGGCACAGTGGCTTGCGAGCTGAGCCAGCCTTCGTGGAGTCAGTCATGGGCCCTTAGCTCAGATTATTAAGGTCAGGAGTCGATCAGACGAGAGGGGCGATTCGTGATCATTCAAAGACTGTCAACCAGCAGCTCAAGCTATACATAATATCTCCTTCCTTCTTTCTTTCATCCAATGTCTCCGTCGACGACTATTATGCCCATCATGGGTTCTTTCATCCAGTCACTTAGCGCCACAACCCTGTGTCTATCACTTCTCCTCACAGGTTCAAATGCTAATTTGATCGAACGCCAAGCTTTCAGTCCTCCTTCTACCTTACCGGGTGGTTGGTCGTACAAAGGATGTTACACGTACGATCTCCATTGCCTTTCAAATGCTGCCGTGTCATACCTTGGCTCTGGAATCCATGACTGACCAACGATTAGGGACGCAGTTGGACAAAGATCCCTAAGAGCTTCAACATTTGCAAGTAGTAGCCAGAGTGCCGACGAGTGTATCGACTACTGTGCCACCTCAGGGTACAGTTTAGCCGGTACCGAGTACAGGTAATTTCTGATATAAAGATGATGGCTAAAGCTGTGCTAATTGGTTGTAGCAACGAGTGTTACTGCGCCAATTCGATCAGTGGTCCTGGTGGCCCTGCTCCAAATGACGAAGGCTGCAACATGGCATGCTCAGGTGTGCCAGGTGAGGCATGTGGTGGACCTGATCGCTTGTCTTTGTATGAACGCACAGTCACGGCTCCAGCTCAGTCCAGCGCGATTAGCATTGATGATGGCGCTGAATGGGTGTGGGCTTCCCGCGGTTGTTACTCTGACCTCACCTATGCACGTATCCTGTCGACGGGAGTAAGCGTGCAGGGCGGTGGCCAAAACAACAGCGCCCAAAGCTGTACAAGTGAATGCCAGCGACAGAATTTCCGACATGCTGGTACCGAGTACGCCGCAGAATGTAAGATTTCTTCGTGAGCTCCGACACCAAAGGCTAATACCGCTGGCAGGCTTCTGTGGCAACACGCTCAACAACGGCCATGTTCCCCAGGATGAAGGCTGCACAATGAGATGTACGGGGAACAGCAGGCAATTTTGCGGTGGCCCTGACCGGATCAACATCTATGAATTTGTTCAGAGACCAAAGATAACTTCGAACTCAAGCTCCACGCCAATCCGGTCGTCAACACCGACACCAACGCCGACACCGGGATATTCGTCAACTATTGCTTCATTTTCATCGGTACCTGACGCTCAAAGCTCTCCAGCAAGCTCTACTACTGGGTCCCAGAGTACAATGACGAGCTCTCCGACGAGCTCAGCTTCTTCAAACACTCATATTACGTCTTCTAATTCAAAGTCTTCTGACCACGCTGATGCAACTTCGACTACCAATGCCTTCAGCACTTCTTTATCTTCGCACATAGATGCTCCGACATCTTCAACCATCGAGTCCTACTCAGCTTCGACCATTGAATCGCATTCAAGCTCTTCTGCTCCTTTAACGGCTTCTTCATCACCGTCTTCGTATCTGCACAGCAACAGCGCCAGCAACTACAGTTCAACCGCACCCTACAATGCGAGCTCGAAGTATACAGCAAACCTGAATTCTACAACCCCGGAAGTTCACATCACTTCAACCACGATACTGTCCACTGCCACTGCATCTGTAGCCCTCTCGTCAACAATCTCGGAACATGTCACTGCCACGACAACAGCACCCCTCCCACAAAACTCAACTCAGTTGCACACTTCAGATACCCCCATTACTACCATTACCTCTGCGTCTCTTTCGTCGATTATCCTTAACGCTACCACGACTTCGCCTTTTGCACAAAACCCGACGTCCACTGCGTTTAATGAGTCTACTACGGCATCCCCAACCGACTCTTCGACACTACTTATTTCGCTCAACGCTGCCAGCACCGCCTCTATCACACAGAACTACACTTCCAGCGTCACACCGACTCCAACGCCAGAACTAAAGGTAGGTTGGTTCTATGAGGGATGCTATGTTGATGGACCAGGTCCACGCACACTCCCCAATGGTGCTGGTGTACAAGGTGGTATGACGAATCAGAAGTGCTGCGACGCCTGTCAAACAGGAGGTTATATCTTTGCCGGTACGGAGTACGCTGGTGAATGTAAGTGTCTCATTGATTCCTTCATCGCAATGGCTAAGATCATCTCCAGGTTTCTGCGGCAACACACTGCAGGGTGTCGGAGCCCCTGCACCGAATGGTGAGGCCCAGTGTGACATGGCATGTAATGGTAACTCAACTGAGATGTGTGGCGGCCCCAACCGTCTATCTCTCTTCCGCTACTATAAAGGTGACGAGCCACCGGTCTCGTCGACTACCATAGTCTCGTCTTCTTCGACTGCTGCGCCTATTCCCACCGGTCTGCCAGAGGATTTCGAATACAAAGGATGCTACGTCGACGGTCCGGGTTACCGTGTAATGCAGAACCAACAGCCTGATGTTCAGCAGATGACCATTGCTTCCTGCGCTGGCCGTTGCTCTAGCCTTGGTTACACTGTCGCTGGAATGGAGTATCACACACAGGTATGCCCTACTTCCGCCTTCTAACACTCTAGTGTCTAATCCGCCATCAGTGCTTCTGCGATAACGCATTGCGCATGAGTGCACCTCTCGCTGACAATGATAACCAATGCAACACACCATGTGGCGGAAACTCGGCCCAGATGTGTGGTGGCGGTGATCGCTTGACTGTCTACTCCAGCCAGAAGGTACTCAAGATCTTCAAAAAGCCAGTCCCAACCCCAAAAGTCGGCAACTGGACATACCAAGGCTGCGCCACAAGCAATGGGGGCCAATGGGACAAGCCTCTGCCGTGGAAGCTATTCAACGAGACGGGTAATAACCCAGAGTGGTGCCTCAGCACGTGCCAGAAGTACGGTTATATGGCCGCTGGTATGGAGTATGGAGTGGAGGTAAGAAATACCCTGATAGAAGACGGGAAGCACGGTCTAATTTGTTTCCAAGTGCTACTGCGGCGATGTTGATCACATGGTCGCCAAGGGATCTGTGCCAGCTCCCGAGTCAGAGTGCAATACCCCATGCCCAGGCGACGAGGAATCAATCTGTGGCCAGGGTAACCGCCTCACTTGGTATAAGTACACCGAAGGAGATCCACTGTATGTATTCCGCTACCCACAAGGTAACGAGGCCGGACGATACGAATTCCTTGTGGGAGGGCCCGTGATTCCCCTCATCTCTATCCCTCTCATCAATGGCAAGGTTACTTTTCTGGAGAAGAATGGAACCAACCTCAATGGCACTGGCTCTTACGAACTCGACCCCTCCATTGATGGCGGTCACGACATCTACCATTCCATTCGCGAAGTATACGGCTTGAAGACGGATGTTTTCTGTTCTGCTAGTGTAACGATGCCTGATCGCGCAGGACGCGTTATCAACATCGGTGGCTGGTCTGGAGACTCTTTGTTCGGTGTCCGCATGTACACACCAAATGGCCAGTTGGGCACCAACAGTACCAGTGAGTGGCAAGAGAACTTCCAGCAGCTCAGCCTACAAACCACGCGCTGGTATCCAACAGCCCTGGTCATGCCCAACGGATCGATGCTCATCGTTGGAGGCGAGAACGGTTCCAATGGTCCTCCGGTCCCGAACATGGAGATCCTCCCTCGTGTTGGCCCACTTAAGCATGCCCAGTTCTTGCTTGATACAGACCCGAACAATCTGTATCCCTTCTTGGCAATTCTACCATCTGGAGGCATATTCGTTCAGTATTATAACGAAGGCCGCATTCTTGATGAGCGATCTCTTGATACGGTCAAGATCTTGCCAAAGGCTCCAACAGCTGTAAACGATGATAATGGCGGTCGTACCTATCCTCTGGAAGGCAGCATGGTCCTTTTACCACAGAAATTCCCATATACAGAGAATCTCGAAGTACTTGTTTGTGGAGGTAGCGGAGCAGGCTGGGGTCTCGACAACTGTATCACGACCAAGCCTGACGATGTCAGCCCTGAATGGACCATCGAGCGCATGCCGTCTCGACGTGTCCTGACGTGCATGACCACTCTGCCTGATGGTACTTTCATGATCATGAACGGCGCAGAAGAGGGCGTCGCGGGCTTTGGTCTCGCAGATGTGTCGAACTTAAATGCGGTCCTCTACGACTCCAGGAAACCGAAGCACCAGCGCATGAGCATTCTGGGTAACACCACCATCCCGCGCATGTACCACTCCGAGGCTGTTCTGATGGACGATGGTCGTGTTCTCGTCTCTGGCTCCGATCCTGAGGATGACAAGCACCCACAGGAGTACCGTCTGGAGGTTTATCTTCCTCCCTATCTGACTTCTGGCAAGGCTCGCCCTGCGTTCACCATCGAGCACAACGACTGGATCAACGGCGCAGAATACCAATTCACTGTGACTGCAGGAAGCCCGAACATCAGTGTCTCTTTACTCGGTTCGGAAGCCAGCACCCACGGAAACACGATGGGAGCGCGTATTCTCGAGCCCCATGTCCGATGCGATTCGTGGCCTGTATGCACGGTCGGCGCGCCTCCAGGCCCGTACGTCGCGCCACCTGGCTGGTACCGCATGTTTGTTCTCGATGAGAGCATTCCTTCAGTCGCATCGTGGGTCCGTATTGGTGGCGACCCAGCTAGCCTGGGCGACTGGCCGAACACTCCGGACTTCCTACCCCTGCCTGGTGTTGGGCCTGTGAAGGACACGAGTGCTTCGAAAACGTTCCGCGCTTGATTCAAGCAAGACAAATTAACTGACACTTTTTCATATCTTTTAAGTTAATCGTAATCTCAAGAAGCGAGCTTGAGCACGAGCTCGGATGGTTCTGGGCTTATTATCGTTTTCAAAATGTTGCACCCCCCACGTGATTGCGGGGAATTCCCGCGCACGGACGTTCGACGCAGGCAAGAAGAGAGATATCCGGAACAGGTGTGAATCCGCTACGAGGCATGTAGGAGTGCTAGGATGATAAGAACACTAGGATATATTCTCTATACCTATAGGTAGGCTGGCGGATGGGTATGCTCTAAAGTCCTGTTTGGGTACCCCCCCTAATTTAGCTATTACTAGGCCAATATAGGCGAATAAGGGCCCGTTCCAAATAGAATTACAGGTAGTTTATGTGGTTTCTCCTTAACGTGCTTCACAAGCGAGCGGCGCACCCAAGCGAGCGGCGCACTTTCTCGAGCGCAGCGCACGCACCGCGACGTAGTGCAACACCATCACAAATTCCTATAATATACGTAACAGGATAATATTATTTATAAGCATCGCTATTATCTATATCCTCTATTTCTACCTTGCAGGTGTGGGAGTTATGCCTAATCTTGCTGCAACAGCTGCAGCGCCTCTCTGCGCGCACCCTCTTCGCAGGTGTCTTGCTATCCTCACAACTACTACCCTCCTTTTTAGTAATTAAGTTAGATACCTTACTAACTGTTAGGGTCTCCTCTGCGTGTATGTACTGCCTCTTACAGGTCTTACGCTTTGTAAGCGTGTTAACAGCGTCTTAAAGGTGGCCTATTTCCTCCTGCACTAACACTATATTATAAGCTATCTACTAAGCGCCTTTACTTAGCTGCTTAACCTGCTCATCTAATAAACTTGCTAGAGACCCCTGATAGTTTTATATGCAATTTCAAATTAGCGTGGATTGCGCCTCTATCTCGCGGGCGTTGCGCGGTGTTTGCGCCTCCCAGGCAACAGTGCCTGGTGCAGGTGGCGTTGGCGTGCGCAGCTGTACATTAAGCTTTGATAACACAACCTCAGGGTCATGCAGGACTAGTCTAGCGCCTTAAAACCCTGCGCGAATATTCTCTGGTGTAAACGTCTTCTTAAAAGCTACTTTAAAGGCTAGGAGGAAGGTTTCTTTGTTAATATGGTGGATGCAGCTGTGTGCTAAGAGCGAGATCCCGTCGCCGTAGTGGCGCTTTAACAGCGAGTAGGGGACAACGTCAAGAGGCTGCAGGATGTGTGATGAGTGTGGTGGCATGCAGAGAGTGATAATCTTGTTCTCCTTGCAGTAGTCCTGGAATTCTATCGAGCAGTGGCTCTCATGACTGTTAATAATGAGCAGCCTATACGCCCTAGCAGAGGACGCCTTTGTATGGACGTCGAAATGCTTAAGCCACGCCAGCGCAACGTCGTTATTAGTCTAGCCAGTAGGAGAGACTGTGATAACCTAGTTGCGAGGTAGACTAGTAAACTAGGAGGAGATAAGGACCTTGCCTGCAAAGATAAGGAAGGGTAGGATTATATACCCTGTTGCAGCAACACCTTGTACTAGGGTAACCTACTTATAATTACTAGGTTGTAGTTTCTTCTATTTCCTAGGTTTCTCTAAGCCTGTAATAACAAGCTAAGAGGATATCTTGCCTATTATAAAGCTAGACTTATTAAAGTTCTAGGTGTCCTTATCTATAATACCATACTTTGCCTTTGTCAATTAAACTAGGCTGAACAATGGCTGGATAATCGCTGGGTCCTCGCAGGCAGCTCGCTAGCGATCATACAGACGGCTCCATCGCGTTCGCAGCTCAGGTGTACGCTTAATGAAGTTATCAACCCAGTTCTTGCCTGTAGGCTTCCCACCACGCTCTCTCAGCAGTCTATCAGCCATATCTCGTACGTGCACCTTT